GTGAAGGACAGGAAGGCCTGGCGCAATATGGTTCATGGGGTCACGAAGAGTCGGACACGACTTAACGACTGAACAACAACAACAACCTGTTTAAAATTATGTATGATGCATTGAAGTGAGACAGCAATGTAAACTAGGAGTTTGACATTGTTTTCAGTTAATCATTTAAGATTAAATCATAGTCTTTCTGATCCAAAGGTACAAGAAATAGCACTTTTGCATGGTATGCTAAACCATATTTTGATTTGGCCTAGCTTGTCATCTACGACAGATTATGGAAGCAATCATGGTTAAGACTGAGTCTTAGCTATGGTCTGTAGCCACGGCATGTTTTAATTAGCTTGCTTGAACTGAACATGAAAACGAGGAATAATGGCAATCTTTTAATTAAACAGCATTAGTCCTTGAAGAAAATAGTCTGATGATTCGGTGGCTTCTGCACATACACAGAATGGCCTTTTTTCCCTGAATTGAATCAAATTTCTGAATCATCGAAATCATCTTGATGTAATAATCTGATTAGGGATTCTGAACTGGTAACTCTGTCCAAATCTATACCCTCCTAGCTTACCACAAAGAGGATCAGAATGTTGGCAAAGCATATTGTCAAATCTCTGCTAGAATCAGTTGCTCTGTTGTTTAGCATCCGATTGCAATTACTTCTTTTCATGACTACATTGGAAAAAAAAGAACTGCCCAAGCTCAAATGTTGCTGCAGTTCTTGCAGGAGCCCAGCATATTACACTTTCGTTTCTTGCCCATGAACAGGAATGTTCCGAAAGGAGGAAGAACTGTCGCCGTCACAGCGATGCTTAGCTGTGAGGTAAGCTTTTCTATATTTTGGTGTCCACTGCTGTCTCAGATTCCATCTGTCAGTCAGCCTTTTAGCAGCTTTGCAGGAGTTAGAAATACACGGGCTCCATGCATTTGAGTGCTTGCCATCTTCTTACAATAATATGAAGAAAGCCATCATAAGGTTTTGGGCCTAAATAAATAAATAAAGCAGCATAAATGCAAATCAAATCAATTATTTTAAATATAGTGTGCTATTATCACTGAAGGAAGATCAGTTTATAATTTATTGTTGGGTGGTGACTTCCATGTCCCTGTTTTATTGAAGTAAATTTCTAGTAACATGCTGCTGAATTAGTCTCACTTCCTGGAAATCAGATCCCTTAATGAATCCCGTAACATACTGTGCATATTATACTTTTGGCCAGGGAGGAAAACTTGTGGCCCTCCATATATGGTGAACCATAACTATCATTGGCCAGACTGAGTGAGATTGTTTAGTTCAGCAACCTTTATTAGGGCCATATGTTTTCCTTTCCTGCTCAATCTTTTGACAAGTACAGGATTCTTAATAAACAACTAGTCAACTAGTTTTGAATCCCAGCTCTTTTCTCTATCTCTTGACTGTGGTTAAAAATGAAATTTACTGTCAGCTAGACAGTTTCAGCTACAAACAAACACTGTATGGTATTAATATTATTTTGTAGTGGAGTTCTTGTTACCAAAATAGAAATAAAATCTCACCTGTCTTTGAATTACAGACGCATGCCAAGTCTACTGGAATATTTAAGTTACAACTGTAATTTCATGGGTATCCTGGCAGGCCCATTATGCTCTTATAAAGACTATATTACTTTCATTGAAGGCAGATCATACCAATTGACACAGTCTGAAGCAAATGGGAAAGAAGAAATAAAATATGAACAAACAGATCCCTCTCCAAATGTAAGATCTATTGTTATTGCAGTGCTGCTGTTGTGATTGCATGGGAAGTCTGGTTTGCGTTCTGCATTTTTCACAGGCATAACTCTCAAGCTGTTTCTGAACCATTTTCATAAATGGTATAGTTCTCTCTTCAATAACCAAATATTGATCTAAAGGTCAATATTCTCCATAGATACTTACTTCTGGACCTTGTGGGCTGTGGAAAGCTTGGGATTTGTGTTTATGTCATCCCACGTACTGCCATCAAAACTATCAATATAAAATCAATGTAACTTTTTTATTTCTCTAACTTTTGCTGCTATTTAAATTCCATACAATAAGCATTGCCTTAATTTGGTAGGCTTTTCCTTTCCGGTAGTCTTGCTAATATATCTTAGACATCACATCAATCTGTAACTTAATTTTGAAACAAGAACTACTTTTATTACAGAGTTTAATTTAGAAATTACATTTTGATATAAAATATAAACTATAGATGTCTTGCTTATTTATACCTGATATAAATATCAGCATGTATAAATTAGACTTGCTTTTCTTAGCTGAAGTCTGCTCAACTTTGCTCTGCTTCTCCTTTGCCTTGACGGGTACTCACTTTCGATCAGGATTTCTCTCTGAAAAGAGGCTTTCCCCTCAATCAGAAAAGCAATGCTGAAGACTCCGGGTTTAGCCTTGGATGCTTCCTTACAAGAGCATGATTTAAGCATCCTCTCATCAGCTTCTCTCTTTGTTTTTTTTTTCCTTTTGAGGTTCTCCTAATGCTGTGCGACTTCTTCTCTAGTCCACATGGATATGCTTTTCAGCTCTGCCCCTTCTTCTTTCTTCTCTCAGGTCCTTTTCAACCTACCTTTGGCCATTTCTGAATGCTATGTCTAGCCTATTTATTTTCTGTTGGCCGCGTACTTTGGATAGTAACCTCAGGCAACATCAGGGGATTCCTCTTCCCTTATTCTTTAGTCAAGGCTGAAGAGAAGTTATTTTACAGTGACATGAAAACACAAATTTAGTAATTGCTTGTCATTATAACTGCCAGTTATATTAATTTTCAGAACCACAAACCGCTAAACTTTCTGCAGTTAGCTATTGTAAACACTTCCTCATACACTGTAAGGTTTGCATTGGTTACAGGCCTTATTAGGTGCACTTCTATGTCACTGCTTTAAGCTGAAGTATACAATCATTGTATAGAACAAATAACTAACCATAACACTGAATATCTGTCTATTACATTAAACAAAATATGTTTTTACAAAGACCAAAAATTAATTAAAAGCAATTTCATATAGCAACATTTCATTTTAAACAAGAGTTTCATGCATGTGGATATGCAAATATGAATGTGGGGAAATACATGTTGTTTGTAATGTCTTGAAACCTGTAATCCTACAATTCTGGGACTTGTGCCCAAGGCATTAAGTTTTACCCATGTGACAGTTTAAATTTTTTTTTTCTGTGTTGTGTTACAAGCCCTTGTAATGACTAGATCCAACCCAGTCTCTGGCTCTTTAAGAAAACACTTTATTTTAACAATTACTTATAATTTTTAAAAAAATACTAAATGAGATATGTTGCAATGTATTTTTTTAATGAAAGAAAATAATTACAATTCTACTTTGCATTCTCAGTCTCCGAGAGCTATCATGTATTTACAGTATTTGAAAGCAAGCATCATTATCTTTCATAAGGCTTGCTCTCTAATAATGTACATAAAATCGCATTCTTAGTTTGGATTTCATTGGAAATCAAATACACATGTTATTTTGCATCAGATTAAAAGAAAACCTAGATCCATGTTAAGGTTCTTGTGGCATAAAAATAACAAACTCTTTTTGGCATATATATTATCACTTAAGTGTTTAGTAAAAAGTTTGTGCATCTACAGGTTGGTTAACCAGAATGCTCCCTGTGAAGCCACAAAATTTTGTGTTATATTTTGAGTAAGAAAAGACTGAAAAAAGGTGATTTATTTATAATATATCCAAGTATTACAATTAGAACTAATTGGTATTTTGAAGCAGATAACAGTATATTTTAGTATAATTAGCGGTAACTGATTAGTCTGTGCATACATCTTCTGGTACTTGACTTGAATGATAAAGGAAATTCACTTTTTTTTTCAAAAGTTGCAGTTTACATGCTCTAAAGCAGTCATATTTACTCAGAAATAACTCCTGACTGTATGATCAGTGCAGTTATTCCCAATAAGGATGCACAGAATTACATAGAACTGAAGCACTAATTTGTTTATTTTATTTTAATCAATTTATATGGCCACCCAACTCATAAACATGACTGGGTGGCTAATAGAATTTAAAATATTGATGCAAAATAATGATAGATTAAAACAATAAAAGCCAAAAAGTTTTGGATGTTGTCTTTCTGCAGGTTGTTTTAATAAGATGGCCTCTTTATAGCTGTTTTATTAAAGTTTAGTTGGGATTTTCATGTTTGATTTCATAGGATTCTATTTTTCTTTATACTTTCAAAGAATTTTCTGATAAAGCATTTTTTTTAAAGTACTTTTTTGGCTTGCAGTTCTCTCCCTATTTGGTTGATCTTGATTGCTTGGGGCAGAAAGATATCCTTCCCTCCTCCCTTCTTCCCCTGGGAAAGTTTGCATCTTTCCCAACAGAGATAGGTTTTAAAATTTAACAACAACAGCAACAACAATAAAAAAAGAATGATCTCCCAAACTGATGTAACTGATACATCCCATAGACGTTGAGCCACAAAATGTCATTATAAGCTGGTGCATATCAGCTGCTAAAAGCAGAGTTTCTGCACGTGACTGTTCGCTATCGTTTAATGACATTATGATTCTATTTTCACCTTTTCTGCAGCACATATACAAACAGATTGGTTGGCTGTTTTCCTGCTTGTTTTGTCTTAGTAAACCTTATTAAGAGTGGAGATGATGATACAAAGTAATGGTTTTACTTACTGGCAAATACCAGCCTCCACTCATAGTAGCCAAAAAACTCTAGGAATTTTAGAAGTTCATTTCCAGTTCTGACTTCAAAGTTAGAAATTGTTTTTTATTCCTAACATAAACACACATTGATGAATGGTTGATGTTTACTTCCTCTCTATAAGACTTGTTAGTTCTGAAGTATAAATAAGCACAAGGTCTGTAAATGAGGATCTATAAATAACACTACCTCCAGAATGTATTTAATTACTCAGGACAGGTAAGTTTTTTTCATTGTACTGCTTACCTGCTCAACATATTTTGTTGTTTATGCTGCATTAGCTTTCTGACATTAAACAAAACTGTGTATGCTCTTGACACTTTACATATCCCAATTGGTGTTAAGAGAAACCTGGCTGTCTTTCATAGCGTATTATGTGTATTATGTGCTTTGGGGAAACAATTTGAATGGTGCAATTCTTGATTTTCTGCATTTTCTCTTTGCAAGTTGCAGTTTCAATTAGCCTTGTTATATAAATGTTTCACTTCTGCTTTGTATTGCTGAAATGCCTGTTTAAAATAGGCTTTTTTTTTTTTTTTTGCTGGATTCTCATACTGGTTTAAAAAACAAAGAATAAGACGTTTTTAGATTAAGTTTAAAATTCTTACACCATGAGGATCAGCAAATGCGAAGCTCTAGTCAAAAGAACTGTGTTCTGCCTAATCTAATAAGCTTCCTTTTTTCTTTGAATTTCATTTCTGTAACATAAAATGAATGAATGCCCCTTCTCCTTCTGTTGGTTTTGTTAGGCGCATGATACAAGTTTAAAATAACATTGTCTATCTGCTAATTGCATGTTAACTGAACCTAGCCAACATTTTAAAGTGGTTTATTTCATATCTCACTCCTATTATACCTTTTTACAAGCTATCATTTGTTGGTGCTCAAAGTGGTGTCAACTGTCTGAAATTATTGTCTATCTTCGTAAGTTTCTTCTTCTTAAAGCTTTCAGCTATTCTTATATTCCTAAGTTCCTGTGGAACAATTCCCTTTGCTTCTGGCTTCAATGAAATATTTTTAGCTCTTGAACCCTTGGAGTTTAATCATCAGTATGTAGCGAATCCAAGCACCACAAACTTTATTACACCTGGAAGATTTTACACTTTCTGGAGAGGCAACCAAGTATTGAAATGGTTTATTTAAAATATTATTTAATTAATTCAGTCATTAAGACCATGATTTAAGGTCCAGTGAGTTAAGGTCCAGTTATCATCTTTCAGCTGATTTCAGTGAGATGCTAAATTTTAGGCACCAGATGTAAACACGTCATTTAACTAATTTCTAGAAAAAATACTATAAAGCAGAAACCACATGGTACAATATACCCTTCCCGAAGTCAGTGCCCTCCAGATCTATTGGACTTACAACTCCTATAATCCCAAACTAGGACAATGAATTACAAGAATTGTAGTCAACATATCTGGAGGGCACATTACATTGTAAATGGCCAGTTTTACTATGAATAATAAAGTTATTGCTTCATGTATTTAGCCTAAGATGGGAGGTAACAACAAGTGGAAGTTCATGAATTAGAAGTCAGGAAATACTTTAGATCTTAGCACAGTCATGAATTCACTTTCAAACATTAAACAAGATAATAAAACACAATCTCCCATATAAATATTTTATTATTAAATATTGACATATCTAATTGAAATAATGGTATATTAGAAATAAGGCATTTGATACATTCATTATCATGACCATCGCTATTACTCGTCTTACTTACAGAAAAAGTGAAATAGCTACTTGCCTAGGGCCATATGGACGAGTTCAGTAGGAACTAAAAATCAGGTTTCTTGTATCCTATTGCTGAATATACTGTATATACCTTCATTTTTCTAACCTAAAGTTGACAGTATTTGACATAGAAAAGAAAAAGGGGTGGGCCTCTTACATTCAGCATTAAAAATGAAAACAAAGAAGGCAACTGCAGATGCACCTGATTTATTTATTTAACAATATTTAATGCCTTCCCCCCACCCCCAACTCTGGGTAGGGTACAAGATAGTCAAAATGAAAATATAATACACAGCACAATTAAAATAATGGCATCAGTAAACAGTAAATAAACTTAATCACAGATGCCCATAAATAAGATCAACCTAAGGACAAAATGCATGCTGGAACAAACTTTTGGTTTGTTTGTGAAATGCCAATGGTGTTGGGAACATCCGTATCTCTCAAGGAAGAGTATCCCATAGGATGGGAGTTGCTACAGAGAAGGTGTGTCACTTGGTCTGCATCTCGTGTGCCTCACTAGAAGGAGGCACTTGCAACAGACCCTCTGTTAATGACCAGACTGGACAGGCAGATTTAATTCTGGCAAATGCAACCCAATGTGGTGCCTTAAAGGACTTTTATAACTAGCACTTTTGATTGGGTTTGGAAATCTAGCAGCCAATGCAGCGCCTTCAAAATATGAATTATTCTCACATGTCAGGAGTATCTAGCCAGAAGTATAGCTGCCACGTTTTGTACCAGCTGTAGCTTTTACAGATGATCCAAGTCCTTCTTCCAGAGGAAAGCTATTTTACAACATGAGGATCACCATAGGAAAACACATCTTTTGGTTGGGAACTCTCAGGATCCCAACCAAAATGAGAAAATTGGACAGGTTAATTCTACCAGAAGGTGAACTTCTCCCAAATTTTAAAAGGGTAACATGGAAAGCCTTGTTAAACTTTCCTATCTAGAGCTCTCTTTTCTGAAGCAGAATGTAAATCCAATAAATGAAAAAATACATACATGTCAGCTCTCAGTTTCTCATGGGAACAGCAATTAGAGTTACAAAAGTAATCTGTTTTCCCTTCAGTAAGTAGAGGGTTTTTTTTATGAACAATTGCTCCTAAAGAAATTAAAACAATGTAGACAATCTTTTATTGTTCTATGATGTTAGACTCCTAAATTCTCTCCATCAGGAAGCAAATGTCTTTTTAGAACCACCAAGTTTATATTTTATGTATGATATGATACGATGCGGCATACTAAATATAATGATACATTTTCTATAAATAATTTGGAATTTCTAACAGATGGATTAGCACAGTGATTCAACAATGTAATTTGTGTGTGTGAGTGTTGTATACATGTGTTTGTATTAGCTTCCTGTACTGCTGTAGTTATTACTTGGAGCTGTTTGCTGATCCAGTATTTTAACTGAGCGAAAGATAATTGGTTCTAACCCTGTATAGGGGCAAGAACTTCTTCAAATGAAATGTATATAGAACTGCTTTTCATTGTTAAGCATATCAAAACATACATAAACTGATATACATTCTGTTTAGCCTGCTGATAAAACTTATCTTCTACATGAACCCTGCTTCATTTTAAAATTGTATCACATTATTGAATTGTCTAAAACGCTTCTTGCATTTTTGCTGCCATAAATTACTGTCCCATAAATTAAGGCTCACAATCTTGACTTCTCATAAATTAACTTAAGTATTTTCTAGGGTCAATAATTAATCTTGAACCATATCTCTGAGAAAACAGCTTCTATTCAAAATGTACTTGTTAACCCCACAAATAAAAATTTCTTTCTATGTGTACTGTTGAATTTTATTACCTATTTATAAATCCTTTCAGTTACATATTACTTTTGAATATTTGCAGTTGGACCTTTTGTCTTCTTTGCCGGATTTACCAGTAAAAGAGGAATAGCAAATTTAATAACTGTTTCTGTTTAAACATTGCGATTCCTGATTCTGCTGAACTAGAAATAGAAAGCCTTAATGACAAGATAGGCTAATGTTTTTGATCAATATCCTCTAGTTTTGACATATACTTGAACCTTAAATGGGGTGGATGGAGGGAAATAACAATTTAGAAACATAGAATTTAAATGCTAAGGCATATAGTAGTATTTGATACCCTATTTAGCTTAAATATATTAAAACTCTAAAATACTATTTCATTTCCCTCTGTGGCTTGTAAATTTAGGTATGATATACTGGTGGATGGCCTTTTTGTTGTTGTCTTCCTATAACACTCTTGTCTTTAGATATTATAGTAAACAAAAGTTATGACTGAGTGAAATTTTGAAAGAAGCAAATGTAGGAAATGAGAAAGGACATCTGTGGATTGATTTTAAAGAGAGAAAGAGAAGAGAGAAGAGAAAAGAGAGAAAAGAGAGAGAAAAGAGAGAGAGAGAGAGAAAGAAAGAGAAAGAAAGAAAGAAAGAAAGAAAGAAAGAAAGAAAGAAAGAAAGAAAGAAAGAAAGAAAGAAAGGGCAAAGCCTTAGCCTTGTCACAAAGCAATAGCCTTTATACTACTTTAGCCTAATGCATCTTGACAAAAACTTTCTTTAGAGGCAGAGAATTAAGGTTTTCTTTCCAAAGCATGCCTTATTTCTTGTGCCTCTGAAAAAGGCTGTCTACTGAAGTTTATCTGGCTTCTTAGACTGTTATAAGGATTCTCATTATTTCAGTAAATACCGTTTTCAGGTTTTGCTTTTTTTCCCCCCTTGGGATTTGTTGTTTTTTGTTTTTTCCTTAAATTGTCTTCTGCACGGTTACATGGCCAAGCTGCATAAACTTTTCTTAATACATGTCAAGTACATAGAGTCTCAGAGAATATGACAAGCTGCTAATTAAAACACACTGAGATTGCAATTTGATGTGTACATATTTAGCATTAAATCAGACTAAGGCATTGAGATTAATTTCTGAGAAGACTGCATAAATTTGCATCATGTTGTTTGCACAGGACAAGGAGGTAAAACCATGTAGTTAACCAAATCACAACATACATAGGCATGCAGAAATAGCAACCACAATAACAAAAAGAATTTGTGTAGCAAGTGGTTCCGTTAAAAAAAATAAAATAAAGAACCAGCATCAGAGTGCTAATAAAATTCCAGAAAGCTACACATCATCACCTGGAGATTGGAGTGAAAGTTGTAGTTTTAGCATACTTACATTCGGTTGTAAGAAACTCTAATTATTTATTTTTTTTAAAGAACGATTACATTTAACAAGTTGCACATCATACAGATTGATATAGCCATAGGTCACATTTGGGTTTTTAAAATTTTATTCTGTGGTTATATTTATTGAAAGCTAATATATGGTCACATAGTTCCAAATTAAATGTGCTAAAATAATTATTATCTATTGCTGATATATAATGGGCTATAAAATATTTTCTGTATCCCATGAGCAGCTCAGAACTGAAATAGAAGTTTTTTTTAAAGATATCAGGTAGCCTCGTAAAAGGTTGAAGTGCAAAACTAGCCAAGTCAAGAACACAATGCCCCATTCCCTAATAGGTGAGTTTTATGCATCCCTAGATACAATAAGCCCAAAATGGCCTTTAAAAACAGAGGCTCCTGCATTAAGACTAGAAAACCCCCCAAAGCCCCAAAAAACAACATTAATCATGGCAGTTGCGACACAGAAGATTACATTTATTTCCTGCTTCTTGATTGGCCAGTTTCTAGATACATGCTTATCCAGAAGAGAGCTAAGGAAGCCGTATTATTTCTGTTAGCACATAGTTGAGTGCCATGTACATGGAAAGGATCAGGCCATAGATTCTGATGTTTCTCCTATTTTCTTTCCTTTGACACTGTTGCAAGTTAAATAGGAGTTCTTTTCATTTTAGCCAGTTTGCCCCCAGTTTTAATTTGGTATTGGAAAGATAGGGTTTAAAGCCTATTTTATTTTAAGCATGCAAGAGCAATACACTTCATATATGAAACAAATTATAAATAATTCTGTTTAAAAGATTTATGTATGAAAGATGCTCACAATGTCTTATATCTTGAATGTTTCAGATAGCTGTGGCGCAGAAACTTGTAGTGTGTGGACTATCCTTATTATTTCATATGACTGTTAGCAAAACTTTTCCTGTAGAATACAACATTGATGACCATTTCAGAGCAACAGCGTCATTTCCTACAAAGATTATCTACCTACACCTGTCACTAATGGCTGCCAGGCCGAAGTATTATTTTGCATGGACTTTGGGTAAGTTGTTTGGGGGGAAGGGAAGGGAAGGGAGCATGTTCCTCTACAAGTTCTACAATATAATGCTTAAAGAATATGTTTAATATAGTGCCCCCCTGTGGGGCAAGGAAGAACTATGTTCAGAGGAATTCTTTTTGAAGCTGAGTTTGTTAAACAGCAAATAAACTGTTCTATTATGTGTTATCAGCTATAACTCAGATTTAAACATAAAAGTGTTATCTGTCATCTATGTACTGTGGTAGTTAAGCAGAATACCTTAGAAAAGATTGCTCATGATACACAATATCATTCTTGCTTTATTTTGATTCTATTGGGGGGGCCTTCAATTGAGATGATGATTTCCATTTTAATCCAGGTATAAACCCAATAATTAATTGTTAACTTTTTTTTAAAGTTGGATTTGCTTTGTTTAAATTTACTCCAAAAATGATATTTAACGTTGTTTTGATAATCTTATTTTATGTGCATTTAAGTAGACTGCAGGAATTTTTTTATAGCTGACTTTGAAATCTATTTTTAAAATAGTTTGTGGAGTGGAAAATGAGTCAAAAGCTGTAATGGATCATAGTTAATTTCAAAATTGGTAGTATAATAACCTTACTGTTTTTCTCAACTATCTGTATCTTAATTTGATCCTCCATTACTATCTTGAAATGAATGGGATCTACTGTATTTGTAGTTAGAGTAGCAAAACATAGAAAGAAACAAAAATGATAAAAACTATGCTATCCCACTATTGGATAAACATTGGTGATTATCTGTTTAAAAATAAATTTTAAAGAATGTTTTCTCTTTTTAAAAATCCAATGGCCATATGAACCATATGATTTAACACTTTTAATTATCTTAACTTCTAGGAAAAGAAATCCTCTAATATTTTTCCAATTCACTTTTAATATTTCACTTTTAATATTAAAATATTGCCAACATCCATATTGCACTGAGAAGTCCATAAACTGTATATGTTGGATTCAAATATAGCCTTAGATTCAGCAAGAGAAAATAGTTATAGTATTTTTTAAAATATTCAATTTGAAAGGTACTTTTTTCATAATTTGTGTTATATGTTGTAGAAGTAGTGAGAAATCGAGTTTCGCTGATATATGGTGTTTAGTGATAGTTTCAGCAGTAGTTGCAAAACAGACTTTCTAAAGTTCTCTGTGAAAAAAAAAACTTTGCTACAGTTTATAATATTTTAAACAGCTTCCTACAATTCCTTACTTTTTTGCAGCAGAGGCAATTAATAATGCAGCTGGATTTGGGTTTAGAGGCTATGATAAAAATGGAGTCCCACACTGGGATTTGATTTCAAATCTACGAATTCTACATATAGAGGTTAGTACATAACCTTCCAAATGTTAAGTTTGGGGATATTATTTACATAATATTCACAATATTACTTTGTTGTAATGTGTTACAGCGAAGAAATGAACTTAATATGATCCAGAGATTCCATCTTTATTGCAGTGATGTATTAAAAAAAAGATCAGCCTCCTAGTCATTGTTCCTACCTAACGTCCACATCTTTTTCTTTCTGCATCTGTTTCTTATCTTTCTACTCCAGTAGAGGAAATTTACTTTTCTTCCCTTTGTATCTTATGAGTAGAATGAGTAACATTTATATATAGAACACTTGTAATCAGTTCCAATGGAAATGCAGAGTTTTCTGGCACACTAAAGACTAAGAAATGTATTATAATAAAATTGTTATGCCTTTAGGGTGTCAGAAAGATGTTTTTTGTTCTGTGATATAGTAGTTGGGGGGGCTAATGCTTTCCCTTAGCGTGAAGCATCTAACATCTGAACTGTACGTCCTCAGATTTCAGTTGCCTGTGCAAATCAAGTATGTCAAATTGATCCTTTTAGAATCCTTATGTTGGAGTTTCAAGAATACAGTTTTGATTTGAAGTGACTTTCAGAGTGACCAGAGCGAAAGTGGAAAAATTCTGACATTGCCAACTTCTCACCTCTCACGATGGGTTAGGGTTAGGGTTAAGCCTCTTGTTTGAGATAAGCCTCTTAAAAGAGCAGAAGTGCTGCATTCCTCAGCATCTTCTGAATTTATCTTGGGCAACAGTGATGCCAAGCAAATCTACTATCAACCACATCTAACTAAATTTTGGAAAGGACATTGTTTCCTTTTCTTTATTCTGTAGCCAATTCTCTATTAAATTCTATTTGCTCAGCAATAATATAAGAAGGCACCATACGTTCACTGAAATTAATGGAGAATATAAGAAAATTCTCCCCTTGTATATGCACACACTACTACTGTTGCGATAGGAGACAAGAAACCCCTTCCGTGTGAGAGTCATGAGCTGCTTTTAGTCTGTTGGAGACAGTTTTAGAAGGATTAAGGTACAGACTTTTCAGAAGAATCTATCTTGCAGAAGATCTGCACAGTCAGCGTTTTCACCAGAATCATATGGCTTGAAGATACAAACTTGCCCCCCAAAACACCAAAACCCATAAAAACAACATCTACTGGAAAAGAAGGAACATACTATAGAAGTACTTTTCAAAATAATGTGTGCTTCATTCTTTTTAAAAATTAAAAAAGAAACATTGAGATGCCTTGAAAAGTCGTAAGAGTTAATTTACAATTTAAATTATTAATACCTAAAAACGTCTATAGCCTCTTGAAAACGTTTATTTCATTTATCATTCTATAGTATGAAACAACTACACTCGGCCTACATAAGTACATTCACTTATTAATGGTCAAGATCATGCCCTGCCACCAATCACCTTCTCTAGCCCTTATTCATTACTCTCTCAACTATGTATTTCACCTTCCTATTTTCCATCAGTGCCCTGTTCAGTTCTTTCTTTTCCTCAAAAATGTAGTAGGCAAGATTTCAGATCTAGCATATTATTATAGGTCCATTTATCTATAATTACAACTATATTATACAGTGTACACTACATACTGTGTGAATATGACCCTGCACCCTTCTCTGTTATCAGTGAAAGCTGGAGAGCTGTTAGAAAGAAATAACTAAAAAATCTTTGCCCTAATAAATTGGGATAACTTGATTTAAAATGGGCAATTGTCCAGTTGCTGAAAATCTTGTTACCTAATCCCTTTCATGTTAGTAAATCTTTCTAAAGAAGACTCTGTAAGAATATTGCTTGGAAAAAAATTACTTTTGATTTAAGGCAGCCGCCCATGACCCTGAAGTCTACAGAGTTTACATTTGCTTTTCTGAAATAATATGTTGCATTCATGTTACAGTTTTCAACAAGTTTCAAGATGTTTCTTGATAACTGGAATATACAGACAGCGCTTTGGCTCAAAAGGTACATTAAGTGATTGATTGATTGATTGATTGATTGATTGATTGACTTACATCCCACTGTAATCAAAAGGACTCTTAGCAGCTTAACATAGAATATAAAGTATTATACTCTTGCTGATAATTCTGTCTTATCAACCTATCCCAAAGATTTGGGGATAATAATTTTGCCTAATGATGAAGGTTTAGGCTGAATCCATTCTGTTTGATTACCCATTATCCCTTTGCCTTTGCTTCAGGAAGACTAATTTCAAAGGCTGGTATATGGCTATAAATCAGAGCTGGAATCTCTAGCAAGCCCTCAGAATCTAGCCCTCTTTGGTGCCAATTCCTAATGACAAAATTGCTAGCACTGGCATAAGAAGGACATTATTCTAGATTCACTGGTTTTGAAAGTTCTGCATTGGAATGATGGGCTTTAATCCTAAATACACAAAAGAAATATTTTGTGTCCCTTCCAGCATTCTGTAACTTCTTGTGCCCAAGACTCTACTGAAGGTCAAGGAACCCTCCTAACAAAGTGGGGTAGGATATGTGGGTTTGTTTGGGACAATTCTCCTCCCAGCAGTCTTAGCACCTCATTCTGTCTTGCTCATCAGGACCACCTGACTTTCTAGGGCAGTGCACAAGAGACAAGTGGGGAAAAATTCTCTGAATTTTGCTTACCTTATCATCCAAGCCATTATTTAGTCATGGTAATATAGTCTACTATTGATTATTATTATTATATTATATTCTTATTATATTATATTAATGTCAGCAGCCACATTTTAGATAGTTAATTTAGAAAATGTAGAGATTAAGTGTGTCCAATAACTTTCAAGTGTTTCAAAGTCCAATAACTTTTAAATGTTTCCAATAACTTTCATTTTATGGAAAAACAACTTCTTAAAGACCATTTTATAACCTGAATTAATTATCAGCTCAGTTAGTTTCTTAATGGTGTATTTGTAAATTTGGCAGGATCGATTGCCTTGCATGCTGCTTGAAACTTTCAATGATTTTAAAGAATAGGTTATTTCTGGCAAAGCCTCAGTATTGCAGAAATGCACTTCCTTCTTGCTTTTCTATATGATGCATTTTCTTTTTTGACTTTCAGAGTATGCTATGAGCGAGCCTCTTTCAGCCCAACAATACAAACCTTTATCTTATCAGCCATTTGGCATGGGGTATATCCTGGATATTATTTAACATTCTTAACAGGGGTACTAATGACACTTGCCGCACGAACAGTAAGTATCACTTATTTACTAGTAAAGAGTAGTTGTGCTCTTTTTGGAATTAATTGTATGAATTCAAAACTTAGTGTTTATTTTTAAAATCTTAAATTGGCTGTTTAGAAAAACTACAGGAGACTTTGCTTTATTAAAAGGGCTTTTGAAAATCATTGGATTGTTTTAGGGCATTATTTGATTATTTATAGACTCAATTTATATGGCTGCTCAACTCACAGATACGACTCTGGGCAGCTGACTTCAGGTTAAAACAAAGATATCAAACAAAAACTAACAATACTTCGTGCCTGAAGCTGCTCACACATCTACCTGATTAATTCCTTAAATATGAGCTCATGCAGTGACCTGGCCCGATGCCTCAGGGAAGAACCAGGTCTTTGATACCTTCCAAAAGAGCAGCAAGATTGGGACCATCTGGATCATGGAGCCTATGCTGTTCCACAGGGCAGGCACAGGGACAGAGAAGGCATTGTGTCCTGTGCCCCAACTCCCAACCCCTGAGTTAGTGTGGAAGCATACCATTAACTAAAGAATTGAAACTACTGTACTGGTTCCCAAAAATTTTAAGACATTTGGAAAGAAAAATGTATTTGTGAATGGTCTGAATCCTTTTGATTCCTTTAGAAAATCCAGCCCATTTGCCCAATTTTAGAACTGATCTGGGACTAATATTTGAGCAGAATTTTAACTTGGCCCTGCCAGAATAGAACATTTGTTAATAACGTAACAATGATCAGATTGCAGAACATTATTTGGGAAAAAAATGTCATACAAACACAACATTCAAGCTCCTTTTTGTTCATGCTAATGGAAATCAGTGGTAATATAGCCACTCCTTGTTTAGTGGCTACCTTGTTAATAAATGGTTTCAAAAACAAAGGGAAAAAAAAAAAAAAAAAAAAAAAAAA